CCTTTGTTCCCTTCGAAAGACATTCGAAGGCTCGCTTTGTTTGACCGCAGGTGACCTCGAAGTATTGTGTTTCCGGCTAGAGCATCACGTTGGCAATAATTATGTCAGATTTTTTCTGGAAAGTTCAGTCTTTCTCGATAAATCAGCTGGTCACCCTCCGCAGGTTACACTCGTTTGGCTTCGTATGTGCTCCATATGCCATAGGATCATTTGCCCTGTGCAGTCTTCTTTGACCAGTCTTATTTCCCATGGAGAAGGCCGGGTCAGTCCATAATCTGACAACGAAACTAGCCAACTCAGTGGTAACTGCTGTCGCCCAAGATGGAGGATGCGAGAGGAGCCCATGATTAGTGACCCCGACAGGTATGGCTGTCTCACAGCCAATGGCGGGTATGAATCAAAGCTCTCGTCTTCAATGCATTGTTTTACATCCATTCCATACCTGACAAGCGGAACCATTCGACTTCAATAAACTGGTCGAACCCATAGCCCTTATTTGTTCATCCTACTTATCCTCGGTGAATCAAGCTGTTGCAGCTGGAACCCCATCATTTCGATGCACAGCTTGTGCTTCGCAATATGAACTAAACTGTACTTATAACATAAACTGGTTTTAACTACAATGCAGAATGCTGTTTGAAAATCCCCAAAACACCTCATGGTATCAGCAAATAACGGTTCACCTCTTTCATACATTGAGTGATGATGCGGAAACATTATGGATTCTTCCGGAAACAGAAGAAAGAATGGTCAGGAAATTCTGAAATCCAGTATCGTCTTCATATTCTGATAATTTATTCACACAGAAGTGCTACAAGGTGTGTAAAACCATTAAGGTGTAAAGTTGTTTTCAAACGTTTCAGCAAACTCCAAGTGGCCCGTGCCATGGCTGGTACAGCTCTCAAAGCAATGAAAAAAAAGCTGTCAAACTCCATCTATCCCCACCACTTTGGAACCCCGTCTGTAATAGTTCTCAATATTGACAAACAAATACAAAGCAATTTCATCGCAATAAGTAGGATGGACGAATTCAAACAAAATAACTAAGCAAGCTTTTGAATATTCATTCAAGCCTGTGAGGATTGATGTCTACATTTTTTTCATCCCTGTTTAATTGTGGGAAAGCAAAAGTACCTGGCTCATCTAGGATATTCACAGTGGTCTACGCAACTGAGATATCGAAAGGCACCATATTGGTATTTTTTCCTCCAAAAGGGTTTTAATATCAACATCGTTCGTAGCACTTAACTACACTGAATTTTAAAGGACGTTCATGTCCAGGTGGCTCAAACTTTTTGGCTGAGATTGTATCTAACTTGATGGGGTCCGTAGACTCCAGTTGAATCTTGGCCTTCTCGAGTTAGCACCTCTTAACAGGCTTAATCTCCATTGGCCGTCTGTTGTGAAACGCTGAAACATCGGACAGTTATTCAAACTTAATATAACAAGATGTTATTTGCTTTCGAGTAAAGTTGTCTCGTGTTCACCAGCAAATCACACATTTCAAGCAAACCTTTTAGGTTCCTTGTGATGCAGATGTGTTTTTCTGCCTGTCAGCACCTTACGATCCAAATTAGGGACAACTAGGTTACTGGCACCGTAGAACTCGTGAACGGTCATATTTTGACAGCAAACTGCGTGCGAAAGCGACATAGCACAATAGACAAGTCAGTTTTGTTTGTCATGTCAAACGTGTTCATCAGTGCTTTCGGGTCAACGCTGATGTTGACGTCTTCGTCTGTTTGTTTATCTCGTTTGTTTCAACGTGACGACAAATCGCAGATGCTGGCTTCGTTTTGCTATGAGTAAATATTAAGCAGTTGTAACTTATACCTTGCAATTGCTTTACGATACCCAATCCCTCCAATTAGTCAAACTTTAAAGTAGATCAGTGAAGTAATTTGTGACGGTGTGCTGGGAGGGATATAAAAGAGGTTTTGGCGAAAAAATAGTGTGTTTCTCACTCTAACGAGGAGGAAAACGTTGTTCAGCATTCAGGCATTGCTTTGGACAGGTGGAACTCCTTTTGTTTCAGCATTTACCTTGTCGGTATTATTTTGATTTTCCCTTGCATGACCAGTGGTTTGCTTCCATGGTTGTCTGGTTGACTTCCTTGTTGGAGTACAGACTTAGTATATGTGTGTCTAGTGAGATGACTAACATCTTAAATTACAGACTATAGTGAACACTTGCTTTGTTGTCCAGAAGCCCCAGGATAATCCCCAAACTTGCTCCATTATAAGTGGAACGCATCATAATTTTACTATTCTGTAATAAAATTTAATGCTCTCAAGACACGCTGATAATGAAATTTTGTTGGTCTCTATTCCCTTACTTTGCTGTGTTGTTCCATGTTACAGCATTTCTTTACTGCCTCTTCTTTCAGTCCACTGATTACCTTGTCCAAAATCAGAACAGTCTAAGAAGGCTGGCTAACTAATCAATTATTCTCCAGTAGGAGAGTGCAAGGTAGTTCTGGACCTCAAACCATTTACCCGATTAATCATTGGAGAAAACTGGACAAGACTCTATGAAAACCATAAAGTCTATTCCGGGCTAAACAGGCCATACTAAATCGATAAATTTCATTTCCATTTCGCAATTCATGTGTCAAGTCCGTAACTGTTCCCAAAGGTACCAGAAAAATTTTAAAAAATGCATGTATCACACCATCCTAATTTCTGAATGAGTCAGGCATTATTCAGAGAATCTTGGAGGTAACCGCTTTACACCTTGAAGACAAATTTCAGTTGTAGGAATTCAGTATCGAGGATTAGGTTATTTAGTCGTGTTTTATTATTCCTAATTTTCTCAAGGAGCGATTTCATTTAAAAGTGGCGTATAAATTTGAAATAATGACTGGTCACGCGTCGTGCGACTTTTCCATGTAAAATTTTACATCTCAATCAGTTCAGTGAATTTGTTTTGGCACACCATATCATCTTTTTACTACTCACGCGGTCGGTTAAGCGATGATGATAAAAGTCAACTCTACTTGACAGAAAGAAATCGAGTGATCCGTTGAATCGCATCAACTCTGTGTAAAAATGATGTCAAATATTGCTGAGTCGTGTGCAACTGAACTGCTAAATTTGGTGAACAGTTCAGAACTTGATGATCACGCCGAGATGTGACCATCTTGAAACAAAACCACCCATATACTCCTGATGACGTGGAAACACCAAAGTAGCCAACGGTGAAACTGAACCGACAGAAAGATTTCGGAATTCAGTTTGTTACTGGGGAATGATTGATTGACACATGTGAATGCGGTCAGATGTGGCGCAGTATATTTTCTGTGGAAACTTATATATATTCATAAGCAGGAATGTTTATCTCTGCCAATGTTTTACTGCTTTAGGGACATACGTACACAATAAATATATTATATATTAAAAGCTGACGTACGTTGCCAGTCGTAAATCCATAATTCTATGAGACTACGGTTTGCTGCAATCTATCACCAGGGTTTCTTCAAGACATTTTCACGTATAGTTTATTTTGGGCATTTCAGCTCTCTCAAAACACTAGAGAGATAAACGTTGGAAGTTTACATGAAAAACAAATTCACCAGTCATCACGCTGATCCTGCTCATCGGACTAACTATTAGGTGTTCACTTTTTATCAGATTTCTGGCCCCCATATGGTCTACATTTAAAACTGTAAATTTCAATGATCTTTTTGGGGCTGGATAAAAGTGACCTGATATTAGCAATGTTGTGAAACAATGTTAGCAATGTTGTGTACAAATATACATGCCTATAGATAAGCAGTGCATAAGTTTAAACGCGTATATTTCAATATAGAATTATATCCTGAATAAATTCCCAAATATTTGTACAAAAATGAGTTGCTCAATCATTATCATTATTTTTCCATCACTATAAGTGTCAATTAAATTCACAGATGCCCAAAACCTCGTCAGAAATCTCAACCAAGGTGGAGAATGGCAGAAGTTTATTGCGGTGCTTTTGCTTCAATAATAAGAAATTATTGTACGTTACGCTTGCACTATGGGGTAGTCTATGCTCTTTAAAATTAGGACAAGAACGTTCTGAACTTTAAAAATGCTACTCAAAGCCGTCCTAGATATGTACTTTCGGGGTAAATTTACCCAGATCACCAACCTGGTGCAAGAAAACATTTTCAAAAAACGAATTATCTCTAGCAGGAGTGTTCTGTAACTGATTTTGATATCCTAAAGTAAAAAGACATCAACTGGTGGAGGGCCGTAAAAGTTTACGCCTAGTTCCTTGTAACTCAGTCAGAACAATATTTCAGCGCATTAAAATATCCGAGTCTAAGTGGGCGCGGGATGAAATTCATGGGCTGCGATGATATGTGGAATTAATATCGATACCGAATTTAGTAATGGCGTTTTATTCACGACACGAAGTGTTTTCTCAACTTGTTAGCATTGTACTCAAAGGATATTTTAAAATCAGTTATTGGGCGATAATAAGCAGACACCTGAAAAAAGTTTCTTCTGAAGTACAGCACTTTCTTTGTGTTTGGTCGCAATAATAATATAGCCGTACCATCTGAACATTTGGATGCTTTTTGTTTTATCTGACATAGTCTGTATGCTTTTTTTCATACACGGGTCGACTGATAATGACTCCTATGTTGAATCACGCCCACGTGTTACCCTAAAAGGGGTCTTGTAGGGCTATTCCAGGAGGGCAAAATTCTGTGTCACCAAAGTTTTGGGTAGCATGTCTGTCAGAACAAATTTCTAGTCTAAATGAACAGAGAAACGGCCACCAACCAAATCTTTTCACACTACCTCCCGCTGATAAGTATGTCAGAGGAGAAAGAAATTCACACGATTGCTGAAATTGCTTTCTGAGATTTAGTAACTCAAGGAGCAAGCCAATACCTGATCGCGTGATGGGGATTCTGAGGTAGGAGGACTAGTTAATCATACTGCGGATCATCCTCTAGTGGTCAAACTCCTTGGAGATTCTTGATCATTTCCAGTAAGGCTGAAACAGTTATAATGCGCCTCTGGGTTGGAGGACAAGCTGCACTAATGAAACTAAAACGTTCGTTGCTGTTTCATTGTGAGTTTAACCGCGCATCACCTATACTGTCTTCCAAATCGGTAATCGAGGAAGTAGCGAAGCATTTTTATCTGGCTCATTGTACTTTTTCATTTTTTTTGAGTGCGAATGATTGTCTGATTAATGGCAACTGATCATTGCCTTATAAGATAGAGAAATATCGTCGGGCACAGTGCAACTTCTTGGTCAAGCAAATCTAAGTTGATCCAAAGTTACCATGAGGAACCGGAATTAACCTGCAAACCACCGATAATCTCACGGTTATAAGATCTTACAAACCTGATCTGCATATTCACAAATTGTCCGAATAAAATTATCTGTTCTCAGGTTCAAATTATGTACACCCGAGAAAGAACGCTGTAACTTAGTCAACAATAGTGATTCTGGGTCACACTCAATTCCCATCCAAACTCCTTCAGCGGCTCGACCATAATCAGATGAATCAGTTGCTTCCAACTTATGTCACAGAATTTTCTGATTATGCAAACATTCATTTGTTCACTGACGTAGATTTGTTCGTTTGTAGCATGCATGTGACGGACAGAAGGGTACTTTTTGCTCCGATTAGTGTTTGCGATAGCTTTGCCTTTGCACCGCACGGAGCAATACATGACCAAATAATCAATTCTTTATCCTAATCATATGCCAGTATTTTTATTTTTTCCCGCTCTGGAAGAGCAAGAAGGCACCAAGGTGTCGGTACACTCAGTTTATTTCAAACAACTCTTTGGTTGGCTTGTGCTTGCCTTGCTCATTTGATTTTCTTTTATGGACCAATCAACTTGCGGCTTTGATTATTTATATTTGACTCAATTTCGGTAAGCAATAGTTTGACTGATGAAAGTCTCACTATAATGTTTTCCATCAACCATACTTTATTGATCCTATCGATAGGACTGCTTTTCAGTGAGTGGTACACAAATTATGCTACATCTTAGTAACAACTGAGAAATTTTGAACCGCGTCCAGTGTTTATTCTGAACTGTTTGTTGATATTTTCTTCTACATAATTGCAAATGAACGAAAGCATTGCAGTGATGCCTCAAAAAATTTGACCCCATGACTGAACAGCTCTTTTATTCATTAAATTTTTTTTCGTATTATAATTTACCCTAGTCTAAATTTTTATCTTTCTTACAATTGGAAAATAATCTAATGTATACCTTTTTACTTTGGATGGACTGTCAGTGTGCCACTGCATTCGTAAGGTTGCCCATCACGATTAGATAAAACGCGACCTGCCAAACCAGCTTGATAATTATTTGTGGAAATAATTCGCAAAGGCGCTAAAGAGAAGAACGGGGCCAAGATCTCACCATTCGGCAGGTCAAGCTTGACTGGTTTACCCGCAAAATGGATTCAAATGTTAAGCTTATCTTGCATCTTCTACTGCTTTATTAATGCGAATGAAAAGGCAATTGATGATCCGTTTGCCCAATACGCATACTATTTTCTGATCGAGCGATTTTTCCCTCTGGATAACAATAATGATATTACAGACGGAGACCATTATTTTTTTCAGATGCTTCTTGGATACGCGGATATCACTGGAGTTGACTTATTAGTTAGGCCATCGTAAGAAAGCTATGGAACAAGCCGTAAACAAGATAATTTGACTACGAATGTAAGACAACTTGAATTGCAGTCAAATTTATCACAGGTTAATTCAGTCATGATGCATTGTGGAAAGTTCCAGATAGTATTGAGAAAACACAGAATTACTCTGCTTGTTTCTTAGGTTGTTCTTCACACACAACAGAGCCTAAGTAATGCCTTCATCAGGTTTTTCGTAACTGAGGTATGCTTGTCGTGTGATTTAGTCTAGCTAGGATAATCACACACGCGCTGCTAAGCGTAAATTCAAAATTTAGTGGCCATAATATTCTTGGATGCTTATCCTTAATGAACTCTCGATTCCTACTCTTCCCAAACTGAGAGATCCAGGTCATAGGTGTGCGTTAAATTTTTCCAAAAATCCATGGTACAGAGTGGCTGAAGTTCACAACCTCTTTACCTTCATTCGCCGATCTTTCCACAGAAAACCACGTTTGATGACAGTATTCAAGTCATTCCTGACACCCATCGTGATCATACCGATTGCATCATTAATACGAATAATTTACTATTGCCTTAAGAGCTGCTTTGTGAAATCTGTGTAAAGCGGAGGTCAAGAACAACTGAGGCGTATCTACGGCTTAATCTCGTAGTAAATGCATTGTAGGAGCTGTATGGAAAGTTACCTAGTACTTCTTTCAAAACGGCGTCATTAAACGTTCATTCGGGAAGATTTAACAACACTGAATTTGAGATTCGTGATTGAATACAATATTCAAAAATATAGGCTGTAAACCAAGAAGTTGGCATGCGGCAAACAAACATATCAGTCATGACAAACAGGACACTAAGTTATTTCATCTGCTCCCATTCACGGTTATTTTTATCTTTTGCCAACAGGTAACTGGAAATTCTTTGCTCGAGCAGATGGCTATAGCGATGATGACGAGGCGGTACAGGCGCTAGAGGGTAGGGATGAAGACACAAGCTACGAAAATACTTATCTTTCTCAGGACACCGGGGAAAAATCCAACGCCGAAGATCCTGACTCCAATGATGGTGACTCGCCTAGCAACGATGAGCCAGATGAATCTTCTGACAGTTCATCGGGAGATGAAGTCCAAACAGTCGAAGAGGAATACTCTAGTTCCAATGACGATGATCAATCCTCAGGTGATGGTCACGTGTTCGATGAACCAAATGAAGATGCAGAGAGACCTGAAGAGGAGGACTTATCTGAAATTGAAGGATCTGGCTTCCATGACGTTGATTCATTCCCCAATACTGAGTCAGATGAATCGTCTGACAGTTCATCGGGAGATGAAAAACATACGGCGGAAGAAGTTGCTAACTCCAGTGAAGCCCCTGGTTCTAGTCCAGATGACAGGTCGAGTGAGAGCGAAGTGGATGGCGGACCCCAGGTAGATGAATCCGAAACAGGTGAAGCCGTAAACGCCGAAAAAGAGGAACGAACAGTAGGTAAGAGACTCAGTATACAGCGACTTGCGCATATGGATTTTTGCACCACATGTTGACATTATAAAAATGGTCACATCGGCTAATCGTTTCACGTCCACGTCATTCTTTTGCCCAATTATTCTGGTGAATCTACACCAAACAAAACAGAACCAAACTCGAATTTCACACTGTCTTTGATATTTTCTGAGTCTGGTATTCACAAGTCTAAAATTTGAGACCAGCTTTTTACTCCTATTCCACAAGCGCACACTGAACCCACTTAAATTTTCACGTCTAAACAGCCACTGTCTTCACGTCTAAACGATATGATTTTTCTATGCATTTAGAAAAACACTCTATTTGTTTATTTGTTCATTCTCCAGAGGGCATGAATTGATTACCTACAGACTACTTTTGGTGGATTGTAAATCAAAGCATGCAAAGCCGACAAGCAAGCCAACCTCATGCACCCCCACAGCGCAATAAATTATGGTGAGATAATCTTTCACCGGGAAAATTTTCCAAGATTTCAGGCAGAATAGTTCTGTTCTTCTCGGATAAAAAGTTGCGCACAACAGGGGCTGCTATGCATCAGATTTTTCGACGTTGCATGCCGTCGAACCGTACGCTCAACCACAATCGGCGTATAAATTCTATGAGAGCTATTCACCAGATCCGCGAGCTTTTTGGCAATCAGTGTGCCGTCACAAGTCGTTTCGCGCCTTGTTAGACACATCCTAATGTTTACTCCAAATGCGTTCATCATCCTTTTGTGATTTAAGCACTTCACTCAGTTTATTCAGTGCTCATTCAGAACGTTTCATTACCGGTTGACCATTTTAGGTGGATCGTACCAACGGACCCAGCTAAACATGAATAAGGCTTATGTGACTTTTCACCAGCTGCATTCCGCCAAATAATTGGTTGGTCAACTGACAAGCATAGAATGAGCTCAATCGTGGAATTGTCCCCCGCAAATAATCTAATGCTGAAGCCTTCTCATTTCCCGACCAATTTATGCAACTGAATAAGGACAACTAGGATGCTAGTTTAATTCAAACAGAAGCGCATTCCCATAAGTATGACCTTTTTGACAAATCTTATATCTCAATAAGTGCGCCTGAATAACAGCCAAGGAACTTTTGTTCAAACAACTGAATGCGGCACATCGTTGGGAGACAACAACATGAATTTGGCTAATAGATATAGGTTTGTATCTAAAAAATTGGACAAAATTAACTTGATATTTATTTATTGATTTGAGTTATTGCTATGGGTGGTCGACAATAGAGATCAAAACTTTCCAGGCAGTTTACAAGTTCCTGTAAATTCAAATGCAGTGTCCTCCGTCTCATATGAACCGGTGCTGTATTGTACTTAATGCCTGAACATGATAATAAACCACCACATTTTCTTCGCCCGGTGACATTTCGTGATACGCCATGAAAATCATGCCGTGAAGTAGAATTCCAAGCAGACGTTTAGGCTCCTCGCGAATAAGACGCACAGGAAACTGAATCTCCATTCAGCTACACCGGGTGCAAATCTGCAATGCCTAATTCCAGCCCGCTACAGAAATTCTCGGCTGTATTGCACTGTTTTTTTTTGAATTCGCATCCATATTTTTGAATTTTTATCGGGATATGCTTGCTGGATGTGTAATCACTTTGTTGTTGTCACCTTATGCATTGCAATCTCCAAGACGTCACCGTGTATACATCAATTGATGGAGCGGACGATTCATGGTGCGACGAAGTAAGTTAATTCATTCTGTGGCGTATCCTTTATGTGTGATGCAAAAATTATGGAATGTATGCTTTAGGGTCCATGTGGTTAAGTTCTTTGTGATAACCGCATAAATTTCTACTCTCGTATGTTCACTTTAACATTCACCCTACTTTTACTCGTACTTTTACTTGCCTATCATTCACATGGTTTTGCATTGGCGGTACTTGGCATTGTTACATGAACCACAAGATATTGACGTTGGAAACACAGGTCTACCTGCTGCGTTTCAGGTTTCGTTTCTTACGAACCCCTTTTAACAGCTGAAGATGAAAGCTACTTCACTTCCAACAGCACAGGAGCACTGTCACATTCAGGGCAATTTTGCATAAATTATTCCAACTCTAGTGGTGGTAAAAGATCTTATCGCAAGTTAACCTGGTCAGCGGAGAAATGAGTGGTTACTGTTGCTGTTGGTGGCTCAACAACATGAAGGTTGACGCCCTCCAATTAACTTCGACAATAGTCTTCGGTGTAATGAAATAATAACCTAGTTATTTATGGCGAAATACTACAAGGAAGCGTTCGAATTCCTTCATTACTGACGACACTGAGTAGTCAGCCTGGCAAATCGTTAGATGTTCAGTTGAGTTGAAGTCGATCATCGTGGCTGAGCTGTCTAACGTTTCGTATTTCGGACCTTTGATCCAAATGATCTGGAGTGCGCAGCTGATTTTACAAGGAATTGTATGTAGTTGTGTAAGCGCTTGCTGTTCATGTGCGGATGCCGACTCCCCTACTTCAACCAAGGGATTTCCTGTTGGTATGCGGTGTAAAATCTATCTAGTATCCATTACGTCCCCTGTGTTCCCCATGTCAACTCAGCATGCATACGTGATTACAACACATCTTGATGCGACGTAAACTAGACGTCTGTGAAATTGTTGTGCTCCTTCGAGTGTCAGGTGAACAAATGAGAACTGCTGATAGGCGGAAAAGTTACTCTCATTGTGGCAAAACCCATACTGCATGTTATCCCTCCAACCAATCACTTGAATATTTTGTGCCATTTGTTCAAACCCATCTTTTGCTGTTATCGCAGGCTGTATCTATCATTCCATTCAAAGGTGCGATAACAAATCACAATCGCTTACGTAGAAGATGGGATTGATATAACAATGTTTACATCAAAGAACGCATGGGAATGAATAAATTGTTCTGCAATTGTTACCAACATGCTGAACTTTTTCTGTATAAGGAGGCCTCATACTGCCAAATATTCGTTGAACATGAGTGTTTCACAAAGCTCTATCCTTGAAGGCTATCTAGTTTGCATCCAAACAGATTTAACTCAAACGAACGATTCAAATAAACAAAACGGATTAGAACAGCAAACATTTAAAAAACATCCCACTTGCCTGCAGCTTGAAAAGAGAGCACCAGAACGGTGGGAGAACTTGGTTTTCTCAAACTGCCATCTCATTGGAATTGATGGATCCGTTGCCCGACTTTCCGTAACAGTGAACAAAGACCTCATATCTTCGAACCAACAGGAATTGTCCCATCAATACTTTTATTGGTTTGTCAACCGCTTGTTGAATACAGAAGCAAAAAAGTGTGGAACGCTTACTGGTGAGTGAAATATGACTCTGAACTGACCAAAATTTAACGAATATTTGGCATAGTTTGTTATTGTCTGTTTACTATAAATCTGGAGGCACTTGGCTGAAAAAGTTCAGCGGACATCTTCAGCTTCCTTATGTTGAGTAGCTACAAACCGTATTTGGACCAACTGGCTGAAGTTTCCATTCTGGTTCTGTTACAAGTTTTCAGATAGTAGATGGAAATTAAATGTGATCTCAACAGTACTCGATGTATGTATTCTCAAACCTTCGAATGATCTGTGATGAACTGCCCACATCGATATGCAAGAAACGTTTGAAACTATGTGAACACAACTCGCATCGAAGTAGTTCAGGTCGGAACACAACAGTGTGGGATGAGAGGCCAAGATCAAAAGCCTCGGCTAAGGTCTATAAACTTTGTCAGAATTTTCGCAACCGGCTTGGTTGTGAAAAAAACTTGACAGGGGTTATCCTCAATGACAGAAGTTTTGAACTAGATCATCGTATTCAGCTGTATTCTTATCCATGCCCTCCCCCATTTCCTCCCACAAGACATTCAAACCCTTGTGTTATTCGAATTATCCGCGGGTCTCATTTTACAAAGCCACTTGTTACTGGATAACATCTCATTTTCGAGGCTTATTCTTTAGGGTTCCTAGCGGTTTGGAACCACACACATATGTTCTAAACATTATGATGTGCTAGTGAACCGCAGGGTCCGACCTGAGATTTCTTTTAATCCCACTTGTTGGGGAAACACCACACTCTTCGCCAGAGAAGCAATTGATTTCACAAACTGTTCGCGTTTGCATAGATCGGTGACCGTGTGTTAACAAAAAAGGCTACAATCTTTTATTTTTTATAGGTCCAGCGAACAGTCCAGTTGATTCGGCAGGTAATGTTAGTTGTCCGACAAACTATAGCTGTTAGTTGAACATATGCTTTTGACCTAATAGTTAACTTCTGCGAAAATACCTTGCATATGTGGTAAATATAATTGTTTCCTCATATGAGTAAACAAAAATATTCTAAGTAGGAAACGCAGTTTTATTCCCACGAAAATTGGTCGCTTCGGATATAATAAACATGATTATCTGAAATATTTACTAAATTTATTGTTTATGAGTGAAAAGCAGCATTCATTTTTTAATTTTATTAGGCCCTTTTTCTGTATGCTTTCAACTGCAGAAAGTGAACTTTGCGCAGTCGATGACAATAGTGTGAACTTTTCACTATTTCAATCAAGCCATCCTGCAAGTGTCCTGTATTTCAGGGAGTGGGATAGTTATCGGTCGGCCTACAAATCCACCTTGAGCATTGTCCTCTAGTGTAAGTTCTGAAGGAAACGACACATATGATAGAGTAGAAGGCTCCAAGAATGCAGGTGTCGTAAATGCTGCCCACTCTTGCCATAAGTGACAAGTTATTTCCCTTAGTTCGCGAGGTCATTTAATTCTTGGACGATTATGTACCAGGTTTGGGAGTATGAATGAGCCAAGAAAGCACTGCAAGGTCTTAGTGACAGGCGCATGTAACTATTGTGCTAAGGATGGGGTGCCTTCATTCGGGGATCGCTCTTGTTTACTGCGGGAAAGTGATGAACAAAGCCAAAGTACTTATCGTTGCAACGTTATCCTCAGTGGGTCACATTATGCACCCCAAATGTGCGTCCCACCACACAAAAACACTACCGTTTATTGTGTGTGGATAATTAAGACAATCAAATTTCCTCCGACTGTTGCACAACAAGGATGTAATTGGAGAAGAACAAGTGGTATAGGATAATCATCTAGGATTATCAGGAATCATTTTGACTCTGACGTCTACACGCGGCGCAACAGGGAAACACAAAAGATCACTTGCCTTGCCCATGTATTTATTCATCTCAAAACATCCGCTTACTCCTGTGGTACCCTTCGATTAAATATTCATCACTCGACATGAGGACCAAATAATTCAAAGTGTCCTTTGCGGTTTGGAGACAACTGCATCCTGTAATGTTTTGCAACAGCTGACTCCTGGCTGCGTACATCTTTTTAAGAGCTGGGTGTGATTTGACGGATCATACACAGGGCCCACCTGTATCCATTTTTTCGCTTGTGCAAATATGGCGATATCATACAACTTCCAGAAAACAGAATAATGATTATCATCATCATTGACCGCAGGAAATGTGTATGTGCTGTACAGTGCTTCCAGCTGACACAGTTTAGTCCACCAATCGTACGAAGTGATGGGGTAAGTAGCTGTGTAATGAAGGTGGTAGACGATATAACTGACGCGTAAATACACGGTAAATTCTTAATTGCGGAGATTGGGGGACAGCTAGGCACTTGTCCAGGTGATTTGAAAAGAGTCAACTGAAAAGTTTTGTTTGTGAATGTAGGGTAAGAGAGAACGAGAACGAACCAAAGAGACTCTTAGTACTGCAGACAATGCACGAGAGCGATTGGGAGCAAACCGGGGGACAGGATAACGTCTGGTAATGAGTTAGTCAAGTCAATAACTGAAATCTTGTATATTATGAAAGTCAGCGTCTAGACTTCTGAGAAGATTGTATTCAATAACAGTTTAGTTAGTTAGCCGCCATAATACTTATCTGTTTCAACGGACTTACATAATGTAGGCCTTAGTCGGTGAAATTATATTGCCCTTCTCCTTCGACGAAGTATTATTCTGTCTCCCTTACTTAAAAATTTATCAGGCTACTGGGTCAGACAGACGTTCAGCAGAATCTGTTAACGACATTGATAGATTTTTACAGCCTTGCTGAACATCCTTGGCGGCAAGGACGCTTTTGGAACAAGTGATACCAATGAATTAACTAATCTCTTTTCAAATAAACCCACAAGGTGTCTGCTGCAACTAGAGAGGTATTATTCTAGAGTCTATCGTAGAGTGGTTACTGGCTTCAGTAATATTGCAACCACCAACACTACTCGGGGATCCAAAGATAACAGAAGTGCATTGGGCACACCTCAACATTGCGTGAAATGAATGAGCATTTGCATAGATACAGCTGGTTGGTAATCGCGAATTTCCTGAACATTGTGTCCTCAGTCTGCAGGTAGATCAGTTCTTTTACTTACGCGTGGCCAAAATAGATGCATTTGAAGTTTGTAAACATATTCGTGCTCTCTATTCCCACACTTCCGGCCATGTAAGCGTTTACAAGAACTGTCCGGAAGTTTTCCGGTGTGTCTCTACCTTAGAAAGACCTTATAGCTAGGTTCTCCTGCTGTTACGTCCTGGTATCATTTCTAATGAGGCTCGCACACGCGCTGGACGAATCCCATTGTTTGTGTTTTAGTTCGGTACGATATCCAAATGTGCTTATTTTGTTGCCGGCACATTTTGTAGGCCCCTTGATCATGAATGTTTTCCATATAAACTATAGTTATTCGTAGTGGCTCACTTTTCTCCCCACTCTGTAACTAGGCATTTTTCCTCACCTTCGCGTAACATTTACGCACAGGTAGGTATATCTGGATTACTGACTTTGAGAGGGGGAGATTGTATAGTGATAATGAACTAAAACGCGTTGGAGCAAAATAATCCGTTCTCCTTGTGTTCCCAGTGAAGTGTGATAACGAACGATATATTTTAAGTGCGGTGTCATTCTGGATTACTTCAGGCGTATTCGCAATGCCGCAGATTTGGGTAACCAGCAAAACCGGATGCTAAGATCAAGAAACACGCTGCTACACTGTAACAAAATGTTTTTTTACCACAAGTTTCTCACATTATAATAAGACTTGTTTATTTGGGGGTGTAAATACTATTTTGTCAATTGGTGGTGGGTTTGCCCACGATAAACTTAAGGCATCCTTTTTATCAGCTAAATATAAAACAATTTCGTTATTTTGATTTGTGCATAAAAATACTTAGGCTTTTGAGTAGATCTACTCCACATTTGGTTTTTTGGTAAGGCTGCTACACAGTTGGCCATTTTTTGATACACATGGAATAATGCCTATTTTGATTTTAACCCGCGCAAGATAGTGTGCCGCGACAAAGTATTCCAGAGCATTTGTATTTCTGTTAATAGGAATCCACGTTGCACACTTTGTTATCCTCCACATTTTAGAGATTGTAGTTGTTGGGGTAAAGCAGGACGCATTTTGTCCCAAAGTAAGTTCCCTTTAAATAACATCGTCACTATTTTGGAACCGCTTTTCGTTAAAGGTCAGTAGAATGTGAGTCAGATAATATATTTTTTATTCTTTTGTCGTTAAACACAGGTTTCAAAGAAGCAGTTTATTCCTGGTATCCCGGGCGAATGTACCGCCGATGATTATGACGGGAAACTTCACGGTCTACAAATTGCTACTTATCAGATACAAATGGAATCATCAGTCAGCAGTTCCCAGTTGTTCGCTCAATTAAAGAAGCCAAACACACACGGCAATAACTGCAGATTCAACGGATACTTGCAATAATCTTCGGAGTGCGTTTCAACTTCTTTTCAGTAAGTTGCCACCCTAAGCTTAATTGGAATTTGAAACCAGCCCCTATCATTCACGATGCAGATGTGTATTAAACGGTCAGTTATGTACGGTGCCCGTGTCATGATCTATGACAACCCGGTCAAGTGTTCGTGCGCGTAGCCCAAGATATCCATGTTTACTCGTCATCAGACAGAGAGAGGGAAAGAGTCCAGTAGGATGAGTAAATAAAGCGGATTTTGTTGTTTAGAATACACGAGACATTAATGCGGTATCAATAAGTTCCGCTAGTTGGATGAAAGCAGCCGAAATTGATCCATGAAGGGACACCAACGTTCGTTGCTTTGACCAAGCGGGATGACTGTGGCATGGATCACTGACGATCGATTCTGATTACGAAATTAAGGCTTGTGAAAGTTTACAACAAATGACATCCGAAGATGAATTGCTGTTGTTTGTTATTAGACTCCTGAGGTGTATCCACTTCAGTATAGCCATGTATCATCGTGATATAGTAATCAAAATTGAGCAACGTTCACTATAGCGCTCTTTTGTTCACTACGTATTGAACTCAAATGGTGGCTATAGATTTATGGAAGGTAGAGGACGCAACTTACAGTCGATCATGCTTCAGCACATCACCTCATGCCCTGGTGAGACTACTGGTTGTTGGCCAGGTGATGGGTGGGTGGAAACCACGCCACTATGGACTTATGATGTCTCTTAGTTTCATGACAAGACTTTCGTTAGTTGCCATGCTCGGGCGTCAGGTCAAAAACTAATTAACGTACTTGTGTTGCCAAAATTTCGACGCGATACCCTTTAGACCATGCACACACGAGAAATTTATCCCATGTGCTGAAGCCAAGTGGAGTATAATTAAACCCGAGGATTTTGCAACCACCACCTATGACACTTAGTTATTTCAATACTATTCTTAATTAAGTTTTTTGTTTCAAATGGCGTCACCAAAGCGCTGCATCTGAAGAAATATTTTTAATTAAATTAAAGTTATTAACAATACGGTAAGTACATTGTTCCATTTTACTGAATTTCTGAATATGATTTGGTAATATTCGTGAGCAGACTGACTTAGTTCTACAGTCTGTGTAATTTGATTCAGGTTCTGTGCATGTTATGTTGTCATCAATAACAATCCCAATGAGTAAAAATTGATTGATGCGCTTATTTTTCTCCATTATTTATTTTCTAATACTGGCATTGTTCTAATTTTTACCCCCAACGTTATTCAACTGAGATGAGCTTTATAGTTTTACTCAGAGCAGATCAAACCAAAAACTGGAGCGCTATGAAAGCATGCAGACCTGAAATCTTGACTGGTCACTTCCAATCTTTGACATATTCGTAATCAATTTGATTTTTCTGCATCCAGGTTCAATTAGAGACCTATGCAGCTTGTTGATTCCATGTACATTTTGGAGCCCCTCTAGTTTGCGTCTGCAGTTTAAAGACGGATTTTGCTAAGTTACCGCAAAATGGCCCTCTTTCTATCCAGCCTCCTCTTAACAATGTCTCGGTAATATTGTAGGGGCTAAAACCATAACGTGAAGTTGCGATTCCGCTTTTTAACTGCATTTTTAGTGTCGATTGATTAGCGACGAGTATAAATAGAGCAAGAATGCACAAGAAATATGCAGTAAATCACAAATATAAAAAGGTGCACTAATAAAAATATGCGGTTTGGGTTGTGCGGAGCAAGATGTAGGAGCAATGAGAAGTGATCAGTCAGCCGAGTAATATGGCTCGGCTCAGTCCTAACCGAAACCCCCCGGAAATGCACTCACCCAACTGGCGTTCCCACACACAGGAAGATATTCCATGAGTATCGTATGCTAACAACAATGGAGGTCTATTAATAATCTCGACATTTATAGGTAATTGTGTTCGCTCAGCGGCATACCAATACATTTGAGAATATGATAGTTTCTATTGTTTGCAGCGGTTGATCGTGAGTTTTACTGAGGACATTTTTGGCTTCAATACAAAATTTTGTACATCTCACAGAGTGAACAATTTAATTATCTGGTACGTCTAGCCGCTTTGAACTCACTTCTGAAAGTGAGTTATAAACTTCAACTTTTGTTGAACCACATAGATTTTAATAAAATCTCTAGGTGCAAGCCCAACAACCTAAAGTATTGTAACACGGGAGGGCCTCACTATTAGCCCAACTATGACTATGTCAGCCACGTAGTCAGCATGACCATTTGCACACAGTTTATAGTTGAAGAGGAACTGTTCCCCATTTTTGGGAACCAGGAAGAACATGTACACTTAGATAAATTTGTATAGACACAAAATAAGCTAGTAAACTATAAAAAAGTGGAATTTTTCAGCCGCAAGCTCGTTGATGCAATTTCAGATGATTTTTGAAAGCCGTAGAACTTCTCAAAATTAATGTAAATCATATCCTTCTTGAAATCGGGCAAGCTTGGGCTTTGACTAAACACTAATCACTTCGGAAAAACTAACAAACACATTATATTCTAACAAGGGATTGTATTTTAGACTCCCATAGTTGGAAGTGCACTTTCCAGATCAGATTTTGTCGAAAGCAATTTTTCAAAAAGTGACTTGTTTGGTCGCTTGATTTTTAGTTTGAATGCACTTTCTAAATTGCTCAGGCTGGTGACTTGATGGGATTCTCAGTAGACAATTATATAATGTTAATTTTTTGCATGCTTTGGAGCGCACATTACACCTTGTGACACAGTTTTAAAGCTGGCCAACTAAGTTGCTTTTGTTTGCCAGAGTCCGTGTGATTGCAAGAAAGTTAAATTTCGGTAATTTTCGTGAGATTTTTGAAGAGGCTTATAATAGCATGTACCTACGAATTCTTATTGGGAAAGTCTGCCTGTTTTTCCATGTATATCTCACTGCGTTGACAAAGAAAACTCACCGTGTGTTTTATAAAAAGCTCATTACTACTCTTTGGTCAGTCAGATAACGGATTCGGGAATACCTGTATGTTAGGGGTTAATTTTAGGTGAGAAATTATTTATAGTCAATGGTCGTATAACAGATAGGTTGGTCCGTTGCAGTGGCATTATCATTGAAGTTTTTAGTTTGGTCAAGCAAATGAACACCCGTATATACACTATTTGGGTTTACAGGCGATAATCAACGTTTTACGTTTTGGAATTTTCACCATCTTGCGCTTCAGTCTCGCAAGTTGCCTGACTCTCGTTAGCTGACGCTAGCATTAAGTTGGCTCCTAATATACCCGTTTCTAGGTTATCTATTGTTGTTTGGCACTAAAGTGCAAATTTCGTAAAAAAATGATTTTTGAAATAATTGTCACTAAATTCTCCTGTTTTCTGATATTTCATTTCGTTCGTTATTTTTTCACAGTATCTTAATCCAGCCTGATAATTAAAATAAATACTACATCACAAAATTCTGTCTATTTTTTCTTCTCATGCATGTGAAGATTCATCGGATTTTCACATGCCTCGAAAGTGTGGTTGGTTGTACTGGATGATCTACACGTAATTCATCCGGGGTTGAGTGATGTACCTCTAGATCTTCGAGAAAAATTCTTCGTTTCTTTGGATGTTGGATTGCTGCGATGAATCCACAGCTTGTGGTCAACACACTGTTCGCGTGTTTGGCAGATATTCCGCAACAACTGACAGAGGTTGCGCCCCACAATATAAGACCAATTTAAGCAGTTCGCCGAAGCAATGTTTTATAAACCAGCTTGATTTATCTCAGATAACGAGGGTGGTTAAAAGACAGGATGATAAAGCCACTGTGTAACTGACAGCCGAGTGTCTGAGCAATAGTGCCGCGAAAATAATAGTGAATATCCTGGTCATCTGCATCACTTGATTTCGAAGTAAAGCTTGTATTTCTAGTTTCACTGAGGAACAACATAAACAGGAAATTATTCTGAAATTTTCACCCACACTTACACTCAAGCCTGCCAAATGTCACAGTCTGCAAAATTAACAGCCCCAGTATTGGCTCTCTGCTGCAGCTACGCGCAGAACCCCAAAAGCATAGGTTTATCAACAACTACGGACTCAATAATAAAATTATAAAATTATACAAACCTGAAATTGTGGGAATACACCGGTTTTTATAGGCCAGTTTAGCAACTGTCATTTCTAACGGGATCCCAAATTCCACACCGAAGAAGGTAGCCACAAGACAGTGAAACTCATGTGCTGATTTAAACAACACGTGCGATGACAAGGTCAAAGGGCGGTTTACTTTAAGGTAAAAAAAATTAGAAAGGTGGTATAGGTACACAACTGGGACAAAAAGAGATCACGTAGTACCCAATAAAAATAAAAAAGAATCAACACTGTGGGTCTTCCTGGGTTTTGCATTTTCCGATTTAAGAAAAGCCATCTCCAAATATCTTTCATTGTCAAATAAACTACGGTATGTTAGCTATCAAACTTTCCTTATTTCACTGAACGGTACAATAAATTTCGTAAAAACGATGGTCCTCATGGTGAACTACTTCTTGTTACACACTTATGCTTCTGGTAAAGTTAGATTCCCTATATGGTGTTAAAAGAAAAACCGAGTCCAGTTTCTGTCACCAACTGAAAAAATGGAGTCTGACCGTTCACGCAATAACCGGTAAGGCAAACTAATTATTCAGCAGCGACCAGGGCCACTAGGTGCAAATAACTTGTTCTCTTTCGAAAAATTTCGCAACCTGCAGGTTTTCCCCTTTACTCGTAAAAAGTGAAGGCCCACCACTCGTCTCCAAAATATGTTAATGTGGCTCTTGTCGCTTTTGTCTAGGAATCGTATTGGTGGACGCTTCACACTTGGCTGTCAAAAGTCCTTTTGGGGTATTTGGCGGGCAGTGTGTTTCTGCGTCTTATCATTACATTCCACATTTTCCTCCATAACATCACATTCCTTAACTTGTTAGTAACTGTAGGACGGTAATTTTTTAGGATCACAACAGTTCAAGTAATTTGCGCTGGACACCGGCCTTCCTTCATGCACGC